GTCACACAACAAAACAACACCACACAGAAGTAGAGTATGCATATAAATGAGTAAATATATATACATATGTCTAGCTTGAGGCTCAACAAGTCAGTATCTAATAATAACAAAATTGCTACATCGAGTAGCCCACACACCAAAAGTCAACTCCTGCTACCACCTATAGCCCTACTACTACTCTCCAGCCTATCCCTACTCTACTCTCATACACAGTATAATCATTGCAGTCCAACCCACATGGAAATAGGCAAGGGAAAGCGAGAGAAAAGGAATCAACATATAGTTAAATTATAAGCAGCTTTCACCTTAATAGTAACATCATCATTCTCAACAGATTTAAACAAGGAAGTATAGTACTATGTCAGGATAGAACAACTGGGTTTTAGGCCTACTACGACATTAGCTAGCTTAACTAAGCCACCTATGGAATTAGCCTACCGACTATCCTCCAAATACTACAACCCTCCGATACTCAGTTAGGAACTAAGTTCCCGATTTTGTACTTTACTCGATTGGCCGCTTGTAATCGGTATAACTCGACCTGGCCCCTATACCGTGGTCGCTTTGTACACGTGTGCCTCGACCTTGCCCACACACGGGACCAACTAAGTACTAGAGGAGAACAACACAATGTCCACTCCAAGGGACAGCTTCCCAAGGAGGGTTTTCAACGAATTGGGCTCTTTGAGCACCATAGCTTTCTCAATCCACACAATAGGATGAGCAACTTCGAAAACATCTCCTCTAGTCCTAGTGATCAACAGCTCAATTACAACTTAATCAGCTCACCATTCAACAACACAGCTCAGCTCAATAACTTAAACAACATGATCAACATACAACACAACTCAACTTAACATCTTTAATAGCATAAACAACATACAACAAAGCTCAACTTAACATCATTAACAGCATAAACAACATATAGCACAGCTCAACTTAACATCTTATCATCATATACAAAATTCAACATTTTCAGAGTTATAGAGTAAAACACTTCCATGCCCGGCGCAATAGAATTCGCGCCCGGCCTGGACCCAACCTGAGAGCTCTAAAGCTCTTATACGCCCGACGTATTATCATTATGCCCGGCGCAATAGAAGGCAAAGACTTCTAGAAGTCTCCTCAAGGCTGGCGTACCAAACTCATGCTCGGCACAATTAAGGCAGAGACCTCACCAAGGTCTCACGCCCAGCGCGCTCATTTTGCGCCCGGTGCCACCCTAGGCAGAGACCCCCACTGGGTCTCGACGCCCGGCGAGATCGAATCATGCCCGGCACCATAACAGCAACTCAAATTCTTGAGCCACTATCTAATATCATGCCTAGCGTGGTTCTTTCCACGCCCGACGTGAGTCATCCAAGAACTTCCATACCCAACCTCGCCTAGTGCAACCAACCTAGCGCCCGACATACTTGGAGAATGGAGTTCCTTGATGGACACACACCTGACACCAAGAACTATGCCCGGTGCAATTCCAAACAGCAACCCTCATAACTTCAAAAATTTCAAACAAAACCTGCAAATCAGTCAGCTCAAACACATGCAATCCATAAAATGAACTACACTTACATCATACAACTAAAAAACAAGCTCTATTCCAACATGCAACCACCAAACGCATCAAAATCACCATTTCCCTAATTTTCCCGAAACCCCGAAAAATGAACAACTCTTGAATCCAACCATTTATCTTCTAAAATCAATCATCACATGAGTTCCTAAACTCACTTACGCCCAATCAACATGAAATCTAGCTTCCCTTGCTTTGAATTGAAGAATCTGAGCTCCGAAAAGAGAAAAGGGAAGAGGAAAAAGATATCGGTGCTCTCGACTAGCTCCTTACGCCTATACTCAGCACCTTCAATCACCAAGAAGTTTGAGAATTTGAAACTAAGGAAAAAGAGAGTGAGAAGAAATGAGAGTGTTGAGGGGAAGGGGGAAGACAAGGAGCGGGTCTTACAACCTCCCCAACAAAAGGAATTTTCGTCCTCGAAAATAGACTTACTTGGGAATAAGAAATGTTATTGCTCTCTACACTGCTGCTCAACCTCCCAAGTAGCCTCACCAGTAGCTGCATCCCAAAGAACCTTCACTAAGCCAATAGACTTGCCTCTCAACTCCTTCAACTTGTAATCAATTACAGCTACAAGCAACTTCTCATAAGTCAGGTTCTCCTTCACCTGAACTTCATCCAACTCAATTACATGACAGGGTTCATGGACATACTTCCTCAATTGGGAAACATGAAACACATCATGTAGATTGGAAAGAAATGGTGGCAAAGCCAATTGATATGCGACCGGACCTACACAATGGATGATCTGATAGGGGCTGAAAAACCTAGGTATTAACTTCTTAGCCCTTAATGCCCTTCCCACACCAGAGGTTGGGGTCACCTTCAAAAACACATGTTCCCCTTCAGAAAACTCCAAAGGATTTTTCCTTTTATCAGTATATGATTTTTGCCTACTCTGAGCAGTCTTCATTCTTTCTTGAATCAACTTCACTTTCTCAGTAGTCTGTAGGATTAACTCTGGCCTCACAACCACTGATTCACCATCTTGATACCAACACAAATGAGTCCTACACCTCCTACCATACAGTGCTTCAAATGGTGCCATCCCGATACTAGCATGAAAGCTATTGTTGTACGTGAACTCCACCAGTGGTAAGACTTCCTCCCAACTCCCCAAGTGGTCTAACACACAAGCCCACAACAAATCCTCCAAGGACTGAATCGTCCTCTCTGACTGAGCATCCGTCTATGGATGATAAGTAGAACTCAACCTCAACTTCGTGCCCAAGGCTTGATGTAGACTCTGCCAAAATCTAGAAGTGAACCTCGGATCTCTGTCTAAAATAATACTAGATGGCACCCCGTGCAACCGTACTATTTCCTTCACATACAACTGCGTCAACTTCTCCAAGGACCACTTGATATTGACAGGCAAAAATGTGCACACTTGGTCAATCTGTCAACAATAATCCAAATAGCATCACTATTCCTAGCTGACCTAGGCAATCCCACAATGAAATCCATAGTGATACTATCTCATTTCCACTCTGGAATCTCCATCATCTATAATAAACCACTTGGCTTCTAGTGCTCCACCTTTGCCTTCTGACAAGTCAGACAGGCCACCACATATTCAGCAATGTCTCTCTTCATACCAGACCACCAGAAAGTCTTCTTGAGGTCTTGGTACATCTTAGTCATACCAGGATGTATGCTAAGTCTACTCTTGTGGCCTTCCCCCAAAACAGCTTTTTGCAACTCAGAATCACGAGGTAGGCAAATTCTGCCTTTAAACCTCAAAATTTCGTCTCTACCCAACTCAAAACCAACTGCCTTCTCAGTATCCAGCAACCCAAAAATCTTCACTAACTCTGAATCTTGCAACTGTTTCAACCCAACTTGCTTCAAGAACTCACTAGCTATGGTAGTCATTCCACAACTAATGTGATCATGAGCTAACTCCACGCAGAGATTCAAATCCCTGAATTCCTCCACCAACTCCAACTCTTTCACCATTAAACCCGACATGTGGATGGATTTCCTACTAAGAGCATCCACCACTACATTGGCCTTCCCAGGGTGATACATCAACTGAAAGTCATAATCCTTCAGAAATTCCATCCACTGTCTCTGCTCATGTTCAACTCCTTTTGATCAAACAAGTACTTCAGACTCTTGTGGTCATTGAAGACGTTGAACCTAGCACCATAAAGATAATGCCTCCATATCTTCAAGGCAAAAATAATTGCTGCCAACTCCAAGTCATGAGTAGGATAATTCCTCTCATGGTTCTTTAATTGCCTTTAAGCATATGTCACCACTCTCCTGTTCTGCATCAACACACACCCCAATCCCTGGTGAGAAGCATCACAATACACTTCAAAAGGCTCACCAAAATCAGGCAACACCAACACAGGAGAAGTAGTCAACCTCTTCTTCAATTCTTCAAAACTCTGCTCACATGCATCTGTCCAAATGAAAGGCTGATCCTTTCTAGTCAATTGGGTTAGAGGCATTACTATTTTGGAGAATCCCTCAATGAACCTCCTATAGTAATCCGCTAAACCCACAAAGCTCTGAATGTCCGTGACAGTTCTTGGACGCTCCCACTGCAACACCGACTCCACCTTAGCCAGATCAATCGCAATCCCCTCTACTGAAATAACATGGCCCAAGAACTTCACCTCTTCCAACCAAAACTCACACATTGACAACTTAGCATACCACTATTTCTCCTTCAAAATTTCCAACACCAACATCAAGTGCTCTCCATGTTCCTTCGGGGTTCTTGAATAAATAAGGATATGTCAATAAACAGCGCTACAAATTTATCCAAGAAAGGCCGAAAGATTCTGGTCATGTAATCCATGAACACTGCTGGGGCATTGGTCACACCAAACGGCATCACAACGTACTCATAGTGACCATACCTAGTCTTGAAAGCAGTCTTAGGTATGTCACCCCCCTTCACCCTTATCTGGTGATATCCTGACCTTAAGTCAATCTTTGAAAATATCGATGCTCCCTTCAATTGATCCATTAAGTCATCTATCCGAGGAAGTGGATATTTGTTCTTAATGGTCAATTTGTTCAACTGTCGGTAATCAACATATAGTCGACTACCTCCATCCTTCTTCTTTATCAATAACACGGGAACACCCCATGGAGATACACTCAGCCTCACCAACTGCTTCTCTAGCAACTCTTCCAACTATCTTTTTAATTCAACCAACTCTGCTAGGGCCATCCTATAGGGAGAATCGACACTGGCCCCACACCAGGAACCAAATCAATACTGAACTCCATCTCCCTAATAGGAGGTAATCCATGCACCTCGTCCGGAAACACCTCTGTGAATTCCTTTACAACTTCTATATCAGCAATAACCCTCTCGGTCTCCACACTCATGGCAGCAAGCAGAATACAACACTCTGCTCCATCTCTCATCAACATTTCAGCTTGGCTAGCTGAAATCAACAACTCATCCTCCACCTGAGGAAAAATCAACTTCCTATTGGCACAATTTATAAGGATGTGATTGGCAGACAACCAATCCATCCCTAATATTATGTCAATATCTACTAAAGGCAAACAAATCAAGTTTACCTTATACTTCCTCTCACCCATCTCTAAAGGACAACCAACACACATCTCAGAAACAACAACAGAAGCAGAAGTAGGCGTTGACACAAGCAATCTCAACCCCAAATCGCATACAGACAAACCCAACATTTCAGCACATGCATAGGAAATAAAAGAATGGGACGCTCCTGAATCAAACAAAACCACCACATCCTTACCAGTAGCTTTGCCCTTCCCCTTCACTAGATCAGATGAAATGGAAGCTTTAGCCCTTGTCAAGGCGAACACCCTCCTAACTGTAGTAGGTTTATCACCTCTCGGAGCATCCCTAGTCTGTCTGGCTCTAGCAGGACAACTGGTCGACTCATGACCCATTTGGCCACACCTGAAACACCTGCTCTCGGTATGATGGCAATCTCGAACAAAGTGGGGTCCACCACATCTATAACATCTGAGAGTGGCATCTCCACTCTGATTCCCACCTCTAGTTGTGTCAGTAGGTTGCCTTGTGACAGGACCCCCTTGTTGTGATTGGGGCCTATCATAAGGCTTCCTCTAAGCCCCACCCTTCTTGCACCCAGCTAGTCCCTCAGCATTCTTCACCACCCGGTTGCCACCTTTCAACCGCTCAACAACTTTTGCCTTTTCAACTAAGGCCGGAAATTCAGTGATAGTCATAGGCACCACCACCCCTTCAACTCCTGCTTCAAACCTTCAGCAAATTTTTTGCACTTCCAAGCTTCAAAAATAGCCTGCGAATAAAAACAAGCCAAGTGCTCAAATCTCATCGCATATTCAGACACTGTCAAACCTCCTTGGCATGTCTCACACTCTCTGGGAAATACTTCTCGAGAAACACCCTCTTGAAGCACTCCCAATCAACAACCACTCTTGTGGCCAACAACATCTGATGAGTGCCCCTTCACCAATACTCAACTTTCCTAACAAGCATATAAATGGCATAAGCCAACTTCCTCTCCTGAGAACATCCCAACACTGTAAATATTTTTCCATCTCACAGATCCAGTGGTCAGCTACCCCTAGGTCTGCATCAACCTTGAATTGTGGAGGATGGCACTTGCAGAACTTAGCTAAATCTCGACTCTCTTGTGACCCAACTGGTCTTGCTGCACCAGTTGCAGCTCTCTTAACATCCATCCTAGCAAAGTAGGCATTTTGTTGTTGCATAGCCATAGCCATCATCTCCATGGCATAGGCTATCTGCTCATTTGCTCTAGGCATCTTCTACAAAATAGCAACTCATTCAGCACACTACATCTAAACCACTAAACATAAATCAACACAACATTTAATACAACACAGAGTTCAATATAACAAAAGCCTAAAGGAACCACCCCCACAGAGTGTCCACTAGACTTGAACTGTTCTGATACCATAAAAGTGTAACGACCCACCTAGCCGCCACACAATAAAACAACACCACACAGAAGTAGAGTATGCATATAAAGGAGTAAATATATATACATATGTCTAGCTTGGGGCTCAACAAGTCAGTATCTAATAATAACAAAATTGCTACACCGACTAACCCACACACCAAAAGTCAGCTCCTGCTACCACCTGTAGCCCTGCTACTACTCTCCAGCCTATCCCTGCTATGCTCCCATACACAGTATAATCATTACAGTCCAACCCACATGGAAACAGGTAAGGGTAAGCTAGTAAAAAGGAATCAACATATAGTTAAATTATAAGCAACTTTCAACTTAACAACAACATCATCATTCTCAACAGATTTAACATACAACACATAACAACATATAGCTCAATCACAGCTACACAACACACTGCACATATACAGCTCATATCAATCATCAAATCAACACAACAACAGCTTATGTATCGTCACGCATTTCAACTCGAAGATCCCTTACAACATGGGTGAGCAGATTAAGTGGCTAGGTCCTACCGAACGGACAACAAAGAACCTTTTTGGGCTTGCTAGGTAAACAACAAAATTGGATGCCAATCCACAGCACGATAACGATTTCTCAAACTTTGCCACTTAAACAAGGAAGTATAGTACTATGTCAGGATAGAACAGCTAGGTTTTAGGCCTACCACGACATTAGCTAGCTTAACTAAGCCACTTATGGAATTAGCCTACCGACTATCCTCCAAATACTACAACCCTCTGATACTCAGTTAGGAACTAAGTTCTCGACTTCGTACTTTACTCGATTGGCCGCTTGTAATTGGTATAGCTCGACCTGGCCCCTATACCGTGGTCGCTTTGTACACGTGTGCCTCAACCTTGCCCACACACAGGAAAAACTAGGTACTAGAGGAGAACAACACAATGTCCACTCCAAGGGACAGCTTCCCAAGGAGGATTTTCAACAAAATGGGCTCTCTGAGCACCACAACTTTCTCAATCCACACAATGGGATGAACAACTTCGAAAACATCTCCTCTAGTCCTAGTGATCAATAGTTCATCATTACAGCTTAATCAGCTCACCATTCAACAACACAGCTCAACTCAACAACTTAAACAACATGATCAACATACAGGACAACTCAACTTAACATCTTTAAGAGCATAAAAAACATACAGCAAAGCTCAACTTAACATCATTAACAACATAAACAACATAAACACAACTCAACTTAACATCTTATCATCATATACAAAATTCAACATTTTCAGAGTTATAGAGTAAAACACTTCCACGCTCGGCGCAATAGAATTCGCGCCCGGCGTGGACCCAACTCGAGAGCTCTAAAGCTCTTACACGCCCGGCGTATTATCATTACGCCCGGCGTAATAGAAGGCAGAGACATCCAGAAGTCTCCCCAAGCCCGGTGTACCAAACTCGCGCTCGGCGCAAATAAGGCAGAGACCTCACCGAGGTCTCATGCCTGACACGCTCATTTTGGGCCCGGCGCCACCCCAGGCAGAGACCCCCACAGGGTCTCGACGCCCAGCGAGATCGAATCACGCCGGCGCCATAACAGTAACTCAAATTCTTAAGCCACTATCTAATATCACGCCCAACGCGATTTTCCCCACGCCCGACGTAAGTCATCCAGGGTCTTTCATTCCCAACCTCGCCCGGTGCAACCAACCTAGCGCCCGACGTACTTGGAAAATGGAGTTCCCTGATGGACACACGCCCGGCGCCAAGAACTACGCCCAGCGCAATTTCAAACAGAAACCCTCATAACTTCAAAATTTTCAAACAAAACCTGCAAATCAACTAGCTCAAACACATGCAATCCATAAAATGAACTTCATTTACATCATACAACTTAAAAACAAGCTCTATTTCAACATGCAACCACCAAACGCATCAAAATCACCATTTCCCCAATTTTCCCAAAACCCCGAAAAATGAAGAACTCTTCAATCCAACCATTTATCTTCTTAAATCAATCATCACATTATTTCCTAAACTCACTTACGCCCAATCAACATGAAATCTAGCTTCCCTTACTTTGAATTGAAGAATCCGAGCTCCGGAAAGAGAAAAGGGAAGAGGAAGAAGATATCGGTGCTCTCAACTAGCTCCTTACGCCTCTACTCAGCACCTTCAATCACCAAGAAGTTTGAGAATTTGAAACTAAGGAAAAAGAGAGTGAGAAGAAATGAGAGTGTTGAGGGGTAGGGGGAAGACAAGGAGCGGGTCTTACATAATAAGCAACAAGACTCGTTTGAATGTGACTATTACATCATGTATTGGATGAAAGCCATAGTTTCAGCGGGTATTATTGAATTTGTATTCTGGACTGCCTAGGTTAAGTTTTGTATTTTGGACTGTATGCAAGTTTTGGGTGTATCAAAAAATAATACTAATTTAAAAAAAAATGCATACATTTACGTCGGACATGGTATAGTCTGACGTAAATAGTTTACTATTTTTTGTTTGTTTTACAACGTTTTTTCTACGTCGACTCTAGGGAATGTCTGACGTAAATTTACGTCGACTATCACAACTGACGTAAATTTACGTCTCTCGCATTAATGTCGGACCCTTTTCTGACGTAAAAAGCTTAAAATAACCGACATAAATTATCCCTTTTGTACTAGTGTCATAATCATTATAGTGTAAAAGTTAAACTCATAACTCACCTTCTAATAATAAAAACTTGTTTGGATATAAGTTAAAAGTGATTTTGATAGCTTCTTTATTAAAAAATAAAAAATAAAAAATTTAATATGAAATTAATTGGCCAAAACCTCCAAAAGTCCAAATTTAAGGAATAATTATAAAACCAAAATATAAATTGATGTTGGTACGTTTGGTTGGATCAAACAATCTAGTTGGAATTTTAAAATATTAACTTTCTGAGTGTAGAAGTATTCAAATATTGTTGAGAGGTTTTGATTCTCCATGATATTTCATTATTAACTACTACCACTTTATTTCTTGTGATTCTGGGTCATGGATTGCAGTTTTGAATCATTTTATTGAGTCTACAACCACATTAGAGGTTATAGGGGGAGTATTTAATTAACTCTTTTTAGAAGTTTCGGTTTATCCTTAATCAAGATAAATAATGAATTAAGCGTAGTAGGTGATCACAGATTTAATGGTGATGTACGTTAAAATTACATTGTAGATTAATTATTAATTATTAATTTTGAAATATTACACGTGAATTATATTCATGAAAAAAAAATCTCTTATAATATTATAAAATTAAATTTAACGATATCGTTCCAGTTTAGTCAAACGAGTTTCTTTATTGCTTTACTTCTTTTTTTCTTCTTTATTAATGTTTGATTGTAATGAAATTTTTTATTTCTTTAAAAATATTACTACTTTCATTTCTTTATATTAAAAAGAGAGATATAATTAATCAAGACTAATAAAAATAATTAAATTAGTTAGTTTAAATTAATAATATCATAATTTAAAAGTTTATTTCAAAAGAAAAATATTCATAAAATTAAATACTGCTAGTGATATTTAATAACACTACTCATAGGTTAAAGAATGAGCTTTTCAACCAATAGCATGAGTAATATTGTTAGTAACCCAATAAATATATCTATATTCACAGGGGAAAAAAAAGTAGAAAACTATTTAATGAATTCATAATAAATTAAGAATATAGATAGACATTATAAATACATTTAAAAGTCGATTTTGTTTCTTATAAATAAAACGAAAACTATATTTGTATTTATTTGTTATATATAAAAACATAAGTATACTATTAAACAACAATATTGAATAAGTTAAACATTTAATTATTTGTAAATAATATTACATGTTCTTTTATTAATATTATATATAATTTGCTAATGATCGATCGCTAAAAAATTGTTTTTAAAATAACTTTTGACATTTTTAAATTTAAAAATTTAAATATATGATCTTAAACTTTTCTACTTATTTTTACTATCTT